CATATTATGTATTTATGTATAGAAAATAGCTGTCCAGTGTGACTAGAAATAGAAATAAAGAAACATGATCTGTGGGCGTTGTTGTCTAGAGATTGATTTTATAGAAAATAAAGAAAATGAAACTTTTGAGTTTTCGTCCTGAGGTCGCCTATTGTTGACACAAATGTACATGCATGGCGCGGATGACCTATGTAACCCTGTCTCGCCAGAAAGACATATTCCTATTTTTAGCAAGATACAGCCAGAGGCCTCGTCAAAGTACATAAAAGCAAGGGAGAGATAGAGGAGGATACAGGTGAACTATTTTGAGAGAGCTCGCTGCCGTTTCACGGTTTCTCTTCCATCTGTCCCGTTGCATACATACCCTCTGCTCCTGCTCGCCATTTGTGAGTCGTGTGCATCGAATGAAGCTATCAATCCTCTCCAGGTGGGTGTGCAGTGGAAGGCGCCGGTCACGCTATGAGCAGTAACAGATGTTGTGTGCCAGGCTGAGGTGCCGGCCTGGATGAGGACACGGCAGGAAAGAAACCGAGACACGCCGCAACGAGCAAGTTGGACCTTACTCTTACTCTTCGGAGGGCGCCACATTACATCGTCCACCAGGCCTCAGCATTGTTAGTTTTGTCGGTCGAGGAAGATGTCAGAGATCAGACCGAGCTCCTTCTCTCAGCTCACTCAGACGGAGTTCACTCGACAAGAAACGGCTCAAGTGGTCATCGGCGGAGTCAGCACTGGTAAACTAGAGTAGAACCCATCCTCTCATGTAGCGACCAAACGGTAGTACTTTTGTCTTCTTTGCAAGATTCTCATTTTCATTCTCGGTTTCTGATTGACTGTTTCTAAATAAAAACTCGTGATGAATTTTAATCAAGTACTAATCCAAGAGAATTGGACATAAAACAGGTGTGTCACAGAATTTTATGTTTTGTTTCGCCAGCTTTTGGGTAACAACACTCCAGAAGGGTGTCTGCTTGACCGAAGATCTATTGGCTGTGGAAACCCTGATTTTCATTTACAATACTCAAAAAAGAACAAAACATCAAGACAGACTTTTCTGAATGAGTGAAGTTATTCATTTTGGGTGGCCGCTGATGGTCAGTCAGGTTAGACTGCAGATGTGCAGACCAGTCTGAAAATAGTTTCTTGGGCAACTGATGGGGAGGCACGTGGTATTCTTCAGTTGAGAAGGATGCTAATGAATTGGCCGGCAATGATGTTTGGGGTCGGGATTCTTGCACATATCAGGACCTTGCTCTGATACTTAACCGCCAACATGCCGGTATGAAAGCTTATAATACTTGGAAGAATAAATTTTTATTGTTGGTTTGCGGACGTTGCACTGGGCAAGATGAGGAAGCAAGAAATATGTGACGGTCAGGTCAAAGGTACAACTACAAGGAGGTCACCGTCAGATGGCCGCAGGATTCATGTTCGACCTGAGGTATTCAATACAAATAGCGGTTGGTAACTCTCCTCATATTTAATTGTCTGGAGTTGTTCTAGCCTATGGTGGATCGTTTGTGTAGCCCGTTATAACCAACCAAACACTGATAGAGCTCTGCGGTGGTGATGGTATTCTGAGGAGCACAGGCAAGTCAGTGGTCAACTGGAGCTGCAACAACAGGTTAATTTTCATACACACCGATTTGAGCGATTTAAAAATGCAGCACCATCCGCGGGTTGCCAAATGACCCCCTGGAAGGACATCGTCACAAGTGAATAGATTTGTGCCTGCGCCTTTAGCATCCGACACTGCGATATTATAAACGATGAAACAATTAATACCCTTGGCCACCCGAGGCTATCATTCGGCGGGCAGGGAGGACTTACCCCAGAAATCTTTCAAGTCTCGGTTACGACTTTTTTCGGATTTGGTGACAGGCGCCGAGCATACCGTTGCCCCCTCCCCTAAGCAAACCCAGCTGAAACAACAAGTTTCATGCGTAAGAAATAGCAGCATCATTGACAATACGAATAGAGTCGAGAACTGCATTGCGGGCTGTGTGGGGTGTTAACAGATGGTGATGCGAGCTGAGGTTGATAGCGAATGGGTTTGAAATGTTGGGAGAACTGGTGACGGATGGGGGGCTGAGAAACTCGGAATAGCTGCAGCTTTATGGCGAGCCGGGAGGGGCACGGCACAGAGAAACCATGTAATCTTTCAGGAATTTGTACTGATGGAGATACATTTTCTTAGTCTTATCAGGTCTCCTCTACCGGGTCATGGGCGCACCAACCTACTGATTTATGATACCCGGGTACGTAGTGATAGCGGCATCCACAGCCTATCTAGAATTCGATTCGCCACGACAACCCCACTGAAATCTGAAAGCTCTACATAAATATAAGGGTCTGGCTTCTTCGGGATTAGGGTCGCTTCGCGACAGGCGCCCTTCCTCATGGAGCCGGACGCCTCAGGCCGAAGTGAATCTCGGTTCAACTTCAAGGAACTGGCGGGTCCGGGTGTCGCCATGTCGCCCACAACGGCTACGTGACCCCCAAATGTACTACATGCACGGCGTAGATTGTCCATATTGCCTGTCTGGCAAGACTCTCGCTTGAAAGAGGCATACGTCTGTCTAGCAAGGTACACACAGCCAGAGGCCTCGTCAATGGAGAACAAGCTGACGGAGGGAGAAATAGAGGCGGGCCATTTTGAGAAAGCTCACTGCCGTTTCTCTTCAGTTTTAGTCCCGTTGCATTTTGTGCTTCAGCTTCTTCTGCTCGCCCTTTGTCAGTCGTGTCAGTGTGCATCTCCAGGTTGTTGTGCAGTGAGAGACGCCTGTCACGCTATGAGCTGTAACAGGTGTTGTGACAGGCCGAGGTGCCTCCCGAAGCCGAGCATGACTGGATGCGCACCCGGCAGGACAGACACCGGGACACACTGCAACGAGCAAGTTGGACCTTACTCTTCGGAGGGCACGGAAACATCATCAACCAGGCCTCAGGACTATATATTCATAATTAGTTTGTCGGTGGAGGAAGATGTCAGATATCAGACCGAGCTCATTCTCTCAGCTCACTCAACCGGAGTTCATTCGACAAGAAACGGCTAAAGTGGTCATCGGCGGAGTCAGCACTGGTAAGCTAGAACCTCATGCAGCGCCCCTCTCTCGAGTTAACTGACGTGCTCCCATGTCTATCTAGGGATTGTTGGGATGACGATCGGCTCGTTGTTGGCAGTCCAGAAGAACCTCCCTGCTACCGTACCAGGACTGACGATGTGCATAAAAACGTCCAGCTTTGGGACCGCTTTCTTTGGTCAGTCTCATCCCCTCTCAGGGAATCCCTCAATCTTGAACTCGATTATTTTGAGCAACAGAAGGGAATGACTGATTTGATTTCCTGGGATATGTATGTGAAAGATAATTAGCTCTGAGACAATTTGTGGTCAATCCGATCCTCCAAATCAATCGAATCCCAACTACCTCATCCTCCAGCAGTCATCATTTCTATGGCCTCTTACCTACTGGAATATCAGCTGCCATGGTCGGTGGCTCAGTGAATGGCTACTTACGTGTGTCCTCCTGATCCTCCGTTTTTTCGACGATGATTGGGATTTCTTCAAAGTTCAATGAGCAAAAAAAGAGCAGAGCTGACAACCCAAAACATTCCAATTGATACATATAAAAAAAAACAGGTGGAAGACAAGTGATTGGACGAAGTAGTTTGACGACTGGACTAGTATGTTGCACGATCCAAGTCGTCTACAACGAGCTCGGGATCCTGAAGCGGGCGATCTTCGATTCGAGTGGGGAGACCAGTAGGACGGGTCCGGAGAGGCCCGTGTCGCCGGCCTGGTGGGAGGCCTGGATTCCGCTCTCGAAGATCTCGGACCAGGAATGGAAACAACGGCTCTCGCTCCAGCTCGCCGAGAACGAGCTCCAACTCAGCACCCTCAACCGTCAGATCGACCAGCTCCAAAAGGCTGTCTCCAATCATCCCAAGCACTCTCCACCCAAATAATCTTATCATCCCATCCGCAAAATTAACCCCCAAGGTTATCTCTCGTCACACTCTTATAACCCCCAACCCCCCACCCGACATCGTCTTCAAAGATATATACAGATCGAAGAACCCACAAACGATAATTAACATACTGTGTTTTAAATTTTTTAAAGCCAGGAAGAATGAGAAGAAATGAGTACAAAAGAGAAGAGATTGATTGTCTCGAGTCAGGGCGATTCGCGAGGGAGGTCTGAAGGGGAAGATTGCCTGAAACCGACCGGCAATGGGGGTTGAACCCAAAGCACGTCTAGCTGAGAGGCCGATCGCCGGAGATTCGAAGATGGCTGGTCAGGTCGGCGAGTTTTTTCGATGAAAATGATGAGCAAGTCGCAGCCGTTGGGCCCGGAAAAGTTCTGGTTGGTGTTGCCCAACGCCGTCTTGTGAGCTTACGTCTCCTCGGAGATTGTCCACATCGCAAGAGTTGCCAAAAGATTCATGTATCCATGACTGGGTCTCTACTTGAAGTGGATGATACGAGGACTTGGAAAAAAAGCGGTTGCAGGGATTCCCCTTGGATGAACTACGTCTGATTGTCAACTGGTTAGCTTGATTGGTTCCACAAACCTTATACTATATATAGTGTGGAAATTGCGCTTCAGAAGTTCAGTGAGACCCAGGGATAATCTTAAGCCGTAGAGATTGATTTTCTCGGGACCATGATGGGTCGAATTCTATCGAAAAGAAGATACATAGGTAGCTGGTTTGTGGAACCATTGTAAGATCGCATCTTGCCATGGATTCAGTGAGTTGTGTATACTATGTAGATGAAATTTCGCAGGGAAGCCAAGGGCACTGGATTTTGAGAAGTCTTTTGATCATTTGAATGAGCTTTCATAGGGCTACATGATACGAGCAATCCGATCTGGCTGGATTTATATCCATCTACATCACTACTTCTCAACACATTAAATAAGGCCTTAACTTGTAGCGCATACATTTGCTGATTGTTTGAATGAACACACACTGGATATTTAATATTTAGAAACTCGAAAGAGCACTTGAGGATTGTTATTTTCTTGATAAATATTTAGATTTTAGTTTTGAGAGATTTAGTAGATAATTTATCTGGGTTCTCCTCGTAATTTGTTTGGAACTTGACTAGAGTTTGATCTTCGAATATCCGGATGAATATGTGAGTATACTGGGATGTGAATTATTTTGATGGTTTGTTTCCGGTTGAGGCTGGTTGAGGGATGAAGGAAGTCTTGGTGCTGTATGGGTGGGAAAGTTGTCAAGGTTGATTGATTGGTTGAGTGTGAGTGAGTGCTCTTTGATTGGCTTGCCAAGACTATGTAGTCTCACTGCCCAAGCTGAAACCCACCCACCCCCTTCACAAACCACCCCACTCCCAACTCAAAAACCCATCCATCCTAATACTACTACTATTTATTACCACAAACAAGAAAACAAAAACAAAACAAAAAAAACATGGAACCAACGACTACGAACTCACCCAGTGAGACAAACCAACAACCCTCATCATCCTCCTCCTCCTCCGACAAGATCATCTGCAATGGCTGCAAACTGACTCTCGAGGAGAATGGAACGGCAAGCGATAGCGTCGTCGTCTCAATCGGCAACTCACTCTGGCATGTCGATTGGTCAGTCTACTCTCATACTCACCTCCCAGATCACTCACAACCAAACACAACTCTCATCAACCTAACCTAACCTCACTTCTCAACCATACAGCTTTCGATGTGCAAAGTGTCGCAACCTCGTCGAACATGATACCAATCTGCTCCTACTCTCCGATGGCTCGCCCGTCTGCGAGAACTGCTCGTACATCTGCTCGGTCTGCAAACTGCCCATCTCAAACGAAGCCATCGTCACCGGCGAGGAATCCTACCATGCCGACTGCTTCCGATGTCGATCGTGCTCCAACAGGATCGAGGAACTCATCTTTGCCAAAACCAGTCAGGGTATCTACTGCATGACCTGCCACAACGAACGTGTCACAAGATCCAGGCGTCATGCCGAGGCCAAGCGGAACAAGTCAACCAATCCCAATCCCAGCGCTGGGAGCAAGAAGGATCGCGACAGGGAGAGAGACAAGGATCGTCCTCAGAACTCATCAAACCATCGTTCTCGATCAAAAACCCCTCTCCCCATCGGCTCTGCAAAACCCACCAACTCCGCATCTAGCTACTCCCCCCTCAACACCTCATCTTCTACCATCGATCCATCATCCACCACCACCAACAACAACAACTCAGCACCAACTTCTTCATCAACCATCACAGCCGCTCATCCCCATCTGCCCAACCTGCCCTCTCACTCAGATCCATCCAAATCACTCTCCAGCTTACCCAACACCCCTCGCTCCCCCAATCCTCCCTTGAAATCAAAATCTAGCTCCAACTCACTCTTGAACTCTTACCTCAACCATCATCAACCCGGTTTGGCGAGCTCCCACGGCTCAGCCACCTCAGCCAAGGACTCAAACTCCTTCGATCAAGCCCATCGAGCCCTCCAGACCAGCAAATCTGCATCCCAAGTGCCTGCCAATCGTCGTCGAGGTGGCTCGGCTTCATCGGTCCATGTCCTGCCTACCAGTCAGTCTGGCGACCTGCGTACCCATCCGCCCATCAGCCTACTTTCCCAAGCCTCCTCCAACCTCTCCCGACCTTCGACTGCCGATGGTAACGGCCCATCCATCAGCCCTCTCCACTCACACTTTACCTCATCCGCCATCAATCGCTCCTACGAGTCCTCCCCTCATCTTCCCCCCAATCAATCCCACATCCAATCCGACTCGGAACGGATCATGATGGACAGAAACAGGACCATAGTCCCCAAAACTGATCAAGTCGATCCCAAACTCAGAGTCAAGCATCGATCCGTTTCCTTGAGTTCATTCGATGAACTCACCCTTCAAAATCCTCTCAAAGACCCCTCATCACATCCCGGCCCAGGCTCAGATACTCATCATAACAACTTGAATACCACCTTGGACAACACCGCATTCTCCTATAACGACATCTTCTCATCCCTCGATCACAATCCGGAAGGTCAAGCCGACGACCCCACTCGGCTCATGTCTCAATTAGAGCTCTCGGCCATCGATATCGAGGATCTTCTGGCCACACCCACCGCCGCGGATTCTGGAGATACACATGTGGCCTCAACAACCCCAGGTCCGCCCGAGATCGAAGAGATCACCAAGAAGGTTCGCGAGTCGATCAGTCTGAGCCGCGACAAACCCACTCAGGCTACAGGCCTGGGCTTGGACGTCGGATTAGTAGAAAAACTCCTGTGGGAGCTAGACGAGACTAAGGAAAGAATGAAAGCCTTACAGGACGAATATCAACAGATGAAACGAGTCAGTCGAACCGCCTATGAGGGCTTCAGTTTGGCAAGGCAAAATTACGATAATCAAGTCCTACAACGTGAAGAAGCTGAAGCAAAGATGAACGAACTCAAGACGAGGATGATCGAACAAGCTTCAAAATTAAGAGAGATGGATTCCTTGAGAACGCTAGAGTATCAATCCGAAGAACTCAAAGACTCCGTCTCCGGTCTGCAGAAACATGTCAGTCAGCTAGTTGCCGAACGAGACTTTAGGATCGCCGAAGTGGAGGCACTGAACCACGCTAAGAAGGAAGGAGAGCTTCCTGCAGGCGAGGCACTTTCGGAACGATTCGATCAGCTCCGTCACCGATATCTCCAAGAGCTTCAAGACCTGGCTACTGAGCGCGATCGATTGAAAGAAGAAGTGGCTCATCTGACGAATATTCGGGAATCACAAGCCAAGGAGCTAGCGTCCTTGAATCAGCGTCAAGACGCTCTGACCGAGATGAATGCATCGGCGGTCAAAAGATTAGAAGAGACCAAAAGCACGACCTCGCGCATCCTCGGCCGATATGCAGCGTCGGCCTCCGCGGCCAAGCCCAGCCTACAATCCCCGACCGCCTTGACCGGCCAGCCGGGCTCTCAAGAGTCAGACTTCCCGATCCAGATGTCGCCCGAGGTGAACATCGCGACCACGCGCAAGTTCAAGTGGGGCAAGAGTCACACACACAAAGCTTCGACGGCCACCAGCTCGCGTCAACATCAGCATGCCAAGAATGCCAGCTCCATCAGTACACCCGAATCAGTCGGGATCAATAATGGATCGGGGAACAACGATGGTAATAGTAACCATCATTTGGCTAACAATTCGAACAGCAACAATCTCAACCATTTGCCCAACAACTCCTCATCTGGAAATCTCTCCAACGCTGCTGGTAATCCCGGCGCCAACAGTAACTCTTCTAACACTGCCTCGAGCTCGATCGTCGGCTTGCGTCCGCACAGCTTTCAGCCCGTCAGTGCTCTCAGACCTGTCCGATGCGATTACTGTGGTGATAAGTTATGGGGATTGGCTGAAGTGAGATGTACAGGTCAGCTTGGTCTTCTATGTTGTGTTTCGACTGAAAAGATTTGACTGATCTGATTTTTTACTTTGACATTTGATGATCGGCAGCCTGTGGGAGTTACAGTCACACAAAATGTGCGGCCAATTTCTTTGGCTGTCACGCCTCGAACGGCCCAAATAATCCAAGCCAGAGCACCTCCTCTGGCAGTCTCATCTTGGGCGGTTCTAATGAGGAGGACGCGGAGAGCGTCTTGTTTGGTAACGATCTGATCGCTCAAGCTAGAGCTGAAAACAAATTGGTGCCGAGTGTGGTCACTAAATGCATCGAAGCCGTTGAAGAACAAGGTTAGCAACCACAAACAAACAAAAATCACTTTTGCGCTTTTTGCTTGGGAAACAAGTTTGATTGATTTGGATGTGTGTGTGTGTGTGCAATACGTATATAGGGCTTAACTTTGAAGGTATTTATCGCAAGACCGGAGGAATGTCGTCGGTGAAAATGATCCAGAATTGTTTCGAAAGAGGCCAGAGTATGAACTTCAACGACCTCGACAAGTTCAACGATATCTCCGCCATCACCTCCACTTTAAAGAACTACTTCAGACAACTTCCCAATCCATTATTCACTTTTGAATTGCATGAAGCGTTTGTAACTGTTGCCAGTACGTGATTTCTGGTCTCTCAATTGCTGCTCTCGTTAGCATATGTATGCTGATGAAAACAAAAAACAAAAATGGATTCTTATTTTTGAAAGCGATGGCCCAGGAGAATATTCGATTAGAGGCATTAGAAAGAGTGATCTACCAATTACCGGCGGTGCATTTTGAGACCCTGAAGGTCTTGATGAACCATCTGAGCAAGATCGAGAAGCAATCGGAGCACAACAAGATGACCTCCCAGAACCTGGGCGTGATCTTTGGGCCGACCCTACTGCGGTCCTCGAACCCTCATCGGCAGTTCTCGGACATGCCGTTCACCGCCAAGATCGTCGAACTCACCGTCCTCAATCGGCCGCTCCTCTTCCGCAAACCCTTCGGCGCTCCGTCCTCCTCCTCGCCCTCTTCCTCTCCCTCTAACAATAACTCTGCTTCTAATCAGAGCCAATCATCTTACTCCCACCATTCTAACCAATCGATCTCCCTCCTTCATCACCAACAACAACAACAAGGCCCTCATCATCATCTGCTCACCCATTCTTCTCCTGTCTCTAATCATCATCATCATCATCACCATCATAACGGAATCCAGCAACCTTCTTCTTCTGCCTCCTCTTCTTCCGCCTCTAATCTCTCGTGTAATCCGCAACCTTCTTCTTCGGCCTCTTCTTCTTCTAATCTTCTCGCTTAGAAATCCCACACGCTACTACTCCCGCCTCCAAATTCCTCTCTGTTTTTGTATTTTTTTTTTCTCTTCTTCTCGTCGATGGATATAGACAGCCTTCTTCTTCCTCTTCGTCTTCTCTCCCCTGCCCCCCCCCCCTCCCACACACACACATCTTTGTACTCTCTTCCTTATTTTTGCATTGTCAGTGTTTATATTTTACTTTCTTTTTTCTTTCTTTCTCAGAACCTGAGTGGGTTTTTTTTCCTGTTCAATTGTGTCCATACATTACAACGATTCATCAGTTTCTCTCTTGTTATCATCTATCTATTCTTTCAGCTTGATTTTCTTTTTCTTTTTTTTTCATCCTTTATATGATCCTTTTCTCTCTCTCTTTTTCTAACATCTGAGTATTATATTTTTCCTCATTCATATTATTATCTTCTCCCTCTCTTTTTTTTGGTTTGGTTTCTTATTATTATTGATTTGATTTTCAACTGAAGAAGAAAAACAAAAATCAATGAGAAAAAAAAAAGTGTTTGGATGATCTCGATCGTGTCTCTTCATTCGGTGTCTCTATCTCTTAGTATCAATCAGCTTCCTGTCTGTCTGTCTTTCTCTCTCTTTCTCTCTCTCCTTGAATGAATCCATATACATGATAAGGGTCCAATGAACACACAACACATAAAAAAAAATCATTGAAAAATCAAAATTACTTAGGTTGGCAGTTTTGTGCACACCTATTACTTGTACACCACTTCCTTTCAAGTTCCTCTCTTTGCAAGGGAGGGGTCTTCCTCATCTGTCTATCTCTGTCTTATGGTTTGTCCAGTGGCAATATTGTATTGTTTGCAGTCTTTCAAAGTGGTCGTGTGGTTGTGGTCTTGTTTTTTTTTTTTTTTGGGGGGGGGGGGATGAACAGTTTCTGTATGTACATGTAAAAATGATGGGTGATCAGGGCTTTTGACATGGTTGGAATTCCATGGCTCTGCTTATTCAACACATCTTCTTTCTTGTCTATTTGTGTTATTTGGAATCAATCGGTTTGGAAGATACCAAAAGGCTGGGTTGGAACTTGGTATTGAGAGGTTTATCATCTACAAATCTAATGCTGGTGTCTCTACCTCCAATTCACATTTGTCAACACTGAGGATAGACCAGGACAGGTTCCCGGACTCCAGCAATACCTCCAAAAGGGACAAACAATCATTGAGTAAACCCACCCCCAAACATCCTTGCCCAAAAACAAGGTCAACAAGTCAAAACAAAAACTGCCCAAAATTGGGGGGGGGGGGGAAGCTAGTCAACCTCAGGTGCAAATATGATCTAGTACGTCAAAAAAGAGTCCAGTTGTGTTGATTGAAAACTCCCATGGATTGATCATGTTCTGGATCTGATACACATAACAGAATTTGGAATTGATTTGAGGACTTCCCCCCTTGGATCTGGGCCCCTTGCAGGAGTTGATCCAGGCCCAAAAACGCTTGATTCTTGCAGAGAAATTTGTATTTCAAGGCTCTAAACCGGCTCTGGGAGACACCAGACACCAGCCAGAGGATTAGCAAAGAAAGGGCCCAATCGAAAAACTGAGGCCATGCCTTAAAGAAATGGCCACAATCAACAACGAAACAGATACAGTATCTGCCATGTATCACTCCATTTATCTGAACCCCAATGAAAAAATTTATTTGACCAATGTGCTTGTATTTGCAAGGAGATGCAACAATTGAGTTTTTTGGCCATGCAGCTTTGCAGAATTCTCTATGACTTTGTTTGGCCGTCCATGATTGTCATAAACAATCATGGCAGATATTTTGGGAGTGCACAGCTAATGACGGGGCCTCACAATGGTGTTTGGGAGGCCACATCATATCAAATCTCTTATGACAGAAATGGTCAACGAGATATATTCTCTGCCAAATCCAAGATTTTGGGTCCCCCCCCCCAAAAAAAGTTTGTGTCATAAGTGCCGCTTCAGTGCTCTAATCACCCTCGGCTTTCCCTTACAACAACTCCATATCACCCCCCAGCTGCACACCACCCCCTCTGACCGGCACCATGCCCCCCCGTCCTCCTAAACCGCTGTTCCAATCATCCACTCCCAAGGTGCGCCAAACAGCCACATTGTTACTGATATGGATTTTCAGGATGTGTCATCTGCACAGCCTGAAAGAATCAAACCTAAATTCTGATTTGACGATTTTTGATGACGGTCTATGATGATTGTGGATGGCCAAACAAAGCCTATGATACACACAGAGTATTGTATCTGTTACATCCTTGCCACAATGCTCATCCTTTTTGGACTAAACCCATGCTCCAAGTTGATTTTGGATTATCATTACTGGGCCAGTATTGACATCATTGGACCCAGAAATTCTGTGTTTTCAGTGAGAAATGTGATATCAACACTGGCAAAAGCCTTGAGTGTTGTTGCTTATACACACACTCAAGAAAGATGTCAGTGCACCCGCCCACTGTTGCTAGAATGACAGGAGAGATGGATGTGTCCATCAGGAGCTATGATAAAGCTCAGATATAAAACACAGCTACCATCTAGAGAATTGAGGCCATCTGTAGAAAAACAGGGTTTATTACTGAAACCAAAACCAGAACTATCAAAAGAAACAAGTTAGAAAAATAACAATAATGACAAGAAATCAAATAAAATTTTTTTAGAGAATCTTTCAGCGTACCACGATGAGAGTTATTTTTTGGCTTAGAGAAAACAGAAAGACTGAAATAGATCAAATCAAACAAGGAGAAATAATAGACACTAGAACACAAAAGAGTGAAAAAGATTAACACGATGATTTTGACAAGTAGAAACGGTCAATAAGTTTTCTCACCAAATTGGCAAGAGCCAAGTGAGCAGTTCTAGAGATTTAAAAAAAGGAAAGCTCAGTGACTTTACTTTCTTCGAGCCGCAAGGGTTGTTGTCTTTTTATGCAGGTCAGATCGTTTCTTTCTGTGACCTGGGATTGTTTGTTGTTTTTTGGTTCTGTGTTTGTTACTATGTATTTGAGTATGTATCTACGTGCTGAAGCCTCTTTTCTCATGTTATCTCAGGGCATCTCACTTTATCTGTTGTCATGAGCTGTCACGTTTATGTACAATTTTTTCTCTGTTCATCTTCTGTCATGCAATCGACTGACGCATGCTTCACTGGTTTGTATTCTTACTTTTTCATCTAAGGCTTTCGGATCTTTGTTCTTTACTCTTTTGGTTCTCAACGAATCTATACGGTACAGGCTCTGACTTCTGGATTCTGGATTCTGGATTCTGGATTCTGGATTCTGATACGGATGGAGTCACCCGATGACCTTCTAAGCCCGAAGTGAGCAACTATCCCTGCTTTTATAAGGCTCGCAACCCTGTATGTGAACCCTAAACCTAAGCAATATTTGTGTATATCATCTCCGCAGCAAACAGGCTTTGTCCAATTGGACAAAGTATGAAGTTCTTTAATTCCCCTCCCCATTTGCCCTCCGCTCCGAACCTTGCTTCTCTTCCCAGCTCAGAGGCCTTATGTTTGCTTTCGTTTCCGTGCTCCTTTCTCCTGATAGCAATGCAAGTATGTCGCGAAAAGCTTCCCCCGAAATAGAATGGGATCCAAGTAAAGGAGATCGCGTTCAGCAATGAGTGACATGTTAGTTACAAGCGCAATGCTCGGCCACTGTTCCCTGGCATTCATCAGCGGATCTCCCCCAAAAAAATGGATCCGAGTGTAACATATCGCGTTCAGCGAGGAGATCGCGTTCAGCGAGGAGATCGCGTTCAGCAAGGAGATTGCGTTCAGCGAGGAGATCGCGTTCAGCGATCGGCAATGAGTGACATGTTATTGTCATTTACGAGCGCAATGCTCGGCCATTGTTGCCTGGCATTCATCAGCGGATCCCCCCCAAAAAGAATAGATCCGAGTATAAAATATCGCGTTCAGCGATTGGTTTTACATTACTGTTGCCTGCCACTGGATCTTTGTGTTCCTTCTGGATCCTCTTAGGTTTAGGGGGGTCCCTTAGGGAAGTTCCTTTTTTTTTTTTTTTTTACTTTACATCACCCCTCACATTACATTAGATTATAAATGGTGGAGTTTCTTTTGTTTTGGCAGATCTGAACATGAAATCCAACATTTTTGGCCAGTCAGAATCATTCAATCAGACTCTTTTGAGTCCAGTTCATTGTCCTGTCTCTCATGGTCCAATGTCCTACAGTTCATTGTCCTGTCCCTCATGGTCCAAGGTCCTAGGGTGCCCGGGGCGGGCTAACGCCGCGGGTCACCCTAGCCAATTACTTTTCCAAGAGACTGATTCTTGTGCCATTGAATGTCAACGTATCAAGACTCAATGAACTCTGTTGCGATTACCTCCCAAGTGCATACCACATTTCACGCTCTGTTGATGCAATGGCAAATGAAGACGACGGCATGGATAGTGAAGAAGCCATTCCGGAGGAAGTTCTCAACACTTTCTCCCTGCCCGGTTTTCCCCTCTGCAATTTGAAGCTCAAAGTTGGGGCGCCTGTTATTCTACTCTGCAACTTGGATCTGAAAAATGGACTTTCAAACGGTACCAGGTTATTAGTGCTAGGCATATCAGATCATGTCTTATGGTGTAAAATCTTAACTGGATCACGTGCTGGGCATGAGACACTCATTCCAAAAGTCTCTCTCACACACAAGGCCGATCGCGTCTACGGAGTCTCCTTCATGCGGTATCAATTCCCGGTTTTGGTAGCATTTGCCCTTACCATCAACAAGGCTCAAGGACAGTCCTTAACTACAGTGTCTGTCTATCTTCCCCAGCCTGTTTTTGGCCATGGGCAGCTGTATGTAGCTTTATCCCGAGTCACAAGTGTTGCAGGACTTTCCATATGCATGGTTGCAAATCCGAAATCACGGCCTGAGACCACAAATGTGGTCAACCTTGATGTCATTAAACATGTCCTTGATGATTCTCAGTAACTGTGGTGAATTTTGATTTTTTTCTGTTACTGTTGCCTGCCACTGGATCTTTGTGTTCCCTCTGGATCCTCTTAGGTTTAGGGTGGTCCCTTAGGGAAGGTCCCGTTTTTTTTTTAAATAAATTGTTTACTTTATATTCCATTTTACTTTACAACACATTTTACATAGTGAAATTTTTCTTTTTGTCATTGCAGATCTGATCATGAAATCCAAGTTCTTTTTCCTGTCACAATCCTTCAATCCAACTTTTTTCACTCCAGTCACCAGTTCAATGTCCTGTCTCATGGTCCAAGGTCCTAGGGTGCCCGCGGCGGGCTAACGCCGCGGGTCACCCTAGTTGAAGTTTAGATGGGTGAGAGTTTGTTGGGGATATGTCCGAGCAGTATTGAGGACTGAGAAGTTCAGTCGAAAGGTGAGTGATAGTTGTCGAGTGGATGGAGACTGCTGAGGGAAAGGAGGCGAAAACGGTTGGCCATCGGTCGACTATTTATGGGATTTGAGGATGAGTGTCGACTTGTGGTTGAGAGAGGCTGCGGAGCTGATACAGAGATAGTGATCGAGAGGTGCGTCGTGGAGGATGTTTCGGAGATGATTTGAGAAGAAGGGAGAAGAAAGGAAGAAATAGAGAGAGAGAGAGAGCGAGAGAGAGAGAGAGAAAGGAAGGAGAGAGCGCGGAGAGAGCGCGGAGAGAGCGATTGAGAGAAAGAGGATGTGAGCGCGGGCGGAATTCCAACACCATCAAGAGTTCAAAGTTGAGTTTTTTTTTTTCAAAAACCAAGTCCATTTTGTTTTCTATCAAAATCAATGGTGCAAAAAGTTGTGGACCTATCTTAGTCAGTTTGGTGTGATGAGATTCTCTTGGGAGTCACTCTTAATTGCAAAGCATTTCAAATGCCTGGAGTAGGAATACTGATAGGAGTATTAGTGTGCATATAATCAAAGAACCCACTGATAAACTTGATGTAATGTGTTAAAAGTCACAAAATCATTCAATGCATGGGTCACTATCAGATAAACAAAATCTGCACATTTTGCTTCAGCCACAATTCTCTTTGGCTAAAATCAGAAATAATTCATCTCAAAAAAGTAAGATTAATTTTGAAAAAAAAAGAAAGGGAATTTGATTTCTACTTGAATTGCAAGCCATTTCCTTGCTATGATGCTATGCTTGATGAATATGTGTGGGGAAACTAAAAAAAGGAAAATGAGATAACACATGATTTGCAACTTTGTTCTTTCACGACTGCTATCTTGACATAGTTTGAAAATTGAATCAACATTCCAACTGTTTTGTTTTATGCATTCTGAGTGCAAAAATTGGTTTGCAATTTTATCTTATGTGGCGCTTCTGAAGACCTAAATGGAAGTGGGTGTGACTTCTCCAAGTCCTTCCACATTTTAAGGGTGTGATGAAGCCTGGCTCACAGGCTCAAATTGATGAGAACTATCTTGGGTTGGTTTACCAAATTCTGAAATAGCTGATGGTGACCCCTTTCCAGGACTATTCAAATTGGTTGTGCCGTCTTCCTGCAATCGAGAAGACCCAGAAATATGTGGCTGTTGTAAGTTATCTGTCTTCCTCCTTTGTCGCGCCTTGGCGAGGGGTATACGAACGAGACAGTCGTAAGTTTTCTCGCTAATTCTTCCCCAGTTAGAGACTACCACCCAGGGGAACGATGGATCAAAAAGCACTCTAATTGAGCCGTATGGTCCAACAAATATATTTTCTGGATTCATTTCATGGATGCCAGTTTGGATCACCCGCAGTTTGCCTTGCGTTTTGTTTGTGATAGATCTGGCATACATTTCGCCATTTTGACCTCGGGGGCCGACACTGAAGGACTTGTTGGTGGTTACCCCATGGTCTACGCGGAACATCGTGTATTTAGCTTCAGATTTGTGGTTTGTACGTCCTATATTACTGACTCGAAGGATGAATTCACGAAAGCTAGGTTGCCAAGTTTCAGCATATAGGTATTCTGTGGGCATGCTATTACTACCTTCCTTTACCGCGGCAAGGAAAGGGTATACCAGGAAGTCGTATAACTCTTCGTTCAAGACCGCTCCAAGATGATTAGTGGCTAGTAGAAAGCGCTTTTCGGGAATCCATCGTAACTCACTCTCCCCATCTTTCTCAAAATTCATGATTGGTTCCTCAGGGACACCATTGTAAACACTAAACGGGGTACGGCCATAATTTTTGACTTTTTCAATTCTCAAATTGTTGGTTATACAAATTTCATCGTTGCTCTTTTCCTCCAGAGGGACAACATTTTTGGACTTCTTTTCAATCATGTTGCGGTCGGCTCTAATGCAATCTCCCAACGGAAACCACCAAGAAAAACTTTGAGGTGGAGACTGTGTCTTGAGGATTACTTGTTCTTTCACGAAGTTAGGGCTCTTGTGAGGTTCAGTGTCGAAAATCATATAGTGATCGTTATGTTGACTGAATTTGAGGTCTACTGCCAGTTGATGAACTTTGACCCCCCACACTCCAGCGATTAGTGTGGTTATGACCATGCATTTAGTAAGTGACATTCTTTTCCTTTCCACTTGGTATTTCAAGTTGAATTTTCAATTTGCTTGCCTGGTATTCTGATCGGGAGAAGAGAGCTCGAGCAGGGTGCTTATAAGAAAGGATGAGGCTTAATCTGTCACTGGAAGCCGGGTAGAAGTAAGACCACGGTGATGATGATGTGAGCAAGGATTATGTAGAGATGTTGATCAGTTGACACAGTGAAGATGAACTGAAAGGAATCAAGCTGAGTAGGCAAGTATGTGATGACAGAAAACATGCTCCCGGAGAGCCCCTGTTGCACATGAAACATGTAGCAAAGCATTTTCTCCACAAAAATGATGCCACATAATATTGGAATATTACCAGGTTTTGTTCAACTTTCATACTCGTGAGTGGTAGCAAACGTGCATTTTACATAACCCTTGGGGTTGCAAAGTTGGGCGACTTGTCATTTTTTCAATGCAGAAAAAGAGTTAAATGACACGGCTTTCACGTTTATTTTCACTTAAATTTGAAACTCACAGAAACAAACGTTGTTGGTAGTTACTTCTGGTAGTTAGATTGATCAATTTAAGCAGTCCAGCAGCTGGTGTGCCGAGATGATAAGGTATGTAGAACCAAGCAGTCCAGCAGCTGGGGTGCCGAGATGATAAGGTATATAGAACCAGTTTTCCAACAGGTTGGGGCAAGTTATTTGATTGGTGACTACAGGTAGTGATACGAAGCAATTACAATCCACATTTCCAATCTTCTTGGTAGGCATCAAGGAAGAAGTCCACTGGGAGGCAGAGTCACGAAAATTACAACTTGTAATAGATCAGTTTATTTCAATAGGGCCAATATGGCGAACTAGTGAGCACAGGGTTGGGTAACATTGAAAATAGGAAACAGGATTGACATGTAAGATAACCGTTTCTTTCCTTGTGAATTTATCTTCTACCACACTAAGTATCTTGAAAGTGAGATAGGACATGAGTTGAAAATAGACCAGAAGAATGGATAAATAATGAGCATTATGTGACCTCAAGTTAACTGATGTTTCTATCTATCTGAATATAAAACCTCTCATCTGTCCCAAGCAATTATTTACCAATCACCATGAGGAAACCAAGCGTCATCAAGGATTTGAAGTGGTAAATAGTCGGAATAGTGGCACAGGTAGACATTTTTAAGGTTTATATGTAACTTTTTGAACAGTAGTGAGCGCTTGAGAGATATTTGGTACATCGGTGGCACCGCATCGAGCGGTAGGGTTGCAGATTACAAGTTGGCGGCGTTCAAGATCGGAAGTATCGGTCCAAAATTGTTTGCTAAACGCTTCTTCAGGAAGACCTCCGGGGACGTTTTCAGTGGAGGCGTCGTCCTCGTTTGCTTCTCGGCTTCCGTTCCGTGCAAGGAAGGCTGAAAGTTGATGCTTGTCACTTGGGCCCGCCAGTTGGAAACTTGCTAGATCTAACGCGCGCATAAAATCGCCAAGTACCTTGCTTCGCCAAAATGGAAGTATTCTGGTTGGAGGATCGGCGGGGTCATCTGATTCCTCGAAGTCCGATACGGTATCCGATGTAATCAAGCTCTCCCATTTGTGGCTCGTTCTGGGGAAAATGGTTTCAATGGTTTTTCTGCGAATAGCAGCCACCGCGCTCTGGCAAAAGATGCAAAGACTCAATCAGTCCATGAATCGAATACTGCAGTAATGCATCAGAAGGGAGACCACCTACTCTGTTTTTGCGACGTCCTTCCGCAGCCTCCGACTTTGCTTTATTAATAAGAGCTATTTCTTCACTAGTTCTATCTTCATTTTGGGATTGTCTTGCCGGGATCTTTGACGCAGATCTTAGCCATCTACCGATGATAGCTCTTGAATTGATATTGTGATTTGCTTTAGTCGAAAACAGTCTGTTTTGAATATACCAATTTCCCCACTGGTCCGCTAGTATATCCGCCGTTGCGCTATTCCACTCCGACTTCTTCAAAGATGACTTCTCCCACTCAAAAGTGATTCGCGAGAATCCATTGGATTGGAACTGACGGTCGCATAGAATTTTATAAAGATTGGCGATCCCGCAGTTCGCCGGCCTAGGTGCTGATTGGTAGTGGATGGGTGTCTCGCGTGGTTGTATATTTTGGTTTATTTTGTCTACCACGTTTGTAGCATCGGTTTCAGGTGCACACTCTTTCGCCTCGTGATGGCCATCGACTTTTGCTTGTCGTTCCGCGACCCAACCCTTCCACGCCTGCAACTCTTCCGGGGTTGGTGGAGGCGGTAGTTGGAAACTAGCCCCCGTACCTCCCATCATGAACTTGCAAAATTCTACGATTGAGCGTGACAGCGATGAACAACGATGCGGAAGTTGGACATCTGAGGAAAAGTTTGTATTTTCAAACAGGCATACGAAATGAGAAGCGTTAGGCGTTCATTCAATGTCTTGGGACCACTGTAATTGGTAGAAAAACATTACCTGAATCTTCAGATGACAAGTGGTCCATCTCATTAGTTGACTGCGGTTTAGAAATATGATTTTCTGCGTTATGGTCACTCATCCCGGGCAGTCTTGAGTGGAATAGGCGGGAACAGTTGTACTTGTAAAGTTAGGCTAGCGTCCAAGCGTATCAGTACTAGTCTGGAGATGCAAGAGAGAACGGAATTAGATGGCGGTGAGGAGGCAAGAAGTATGTAGGTGGGCTTCGAACTTGGCGACGTTGTACTATATGATCGATACGACAAAATGGGTGCACATATTTCGCGACACAATAGATGATTCAAAGGTCCACACGGCACTTGAAAAACCTCCCTTTGATTGGTTTACCACAGTGCTCTTTTCAGGCATTCTTCTGACGTAGATCGGGAAAACACCAGTGTGAACAAAGGGAGTTTCTATCGAAATTACGCAAGTATTTAGATATTTATCGAACTTATCTAAGTCCTTCGTCCCTGCGGCGGCGTAGCCGCTGGTCGAGGTGTTCTCTCCCGCAGGGAGAGGGACTTGCGAATTAAACGCACTGCTGAGCGCGAACTTGTGTTACGTCAGATATGTACATCGTGCGATGGAATCTCATCGCCCCGGGGAGTTTCACAACAAAGGGATCGATATCTGATGTCTAAATGAAGCATCATAGTACCATCATATAGAATTCCAAATAAACAGACTGACACTGTTCTTCTGCAGATTAGGTCAACGACCGTCAAGTTCAACCCAACTGCCAGATGCTTGGAGTGACCGAGCGCCTAAATATTTTTAGAATTCCCTTGAGCATGTTACTTTACACGTCGAAGTTGCAAGCTTTCAGACATAGTAATCACTAAAAAAGGGCTTCAAGTATCTTTTTGTTGTCTTTGAGCAAGACAGATTCAGTTAGAGGACTGTCTCCACGGATCCAGGTGCTTTGAGCAAGGGGCATAAGTCGGAGACAAGATATTCATTTTTTTTGCTTCTACTAGACGGAAAAATCAACATAATCCTAGAGCTTTCCTAACAGCATTGGCGATATCCTTATTATCGAAGTTACTATCAACTTTGTCCTTGACAGATTTAATTAATTTTCCAAGGGAGTTTTGGCGCTCTTGTTGAGTTGCATCGGGAGATAAACCGAGTTGTTGGATAGAGTCATTTACTGCTTTCGTTAATGCTTCTTCATTTGAATCTTGTGCGGAATGACTTGAAGAGAAGAACGTCAAATATTTTTTCAGGATTTCAACTTCTTGTAAGTTTTGTTTGTTCAATTCAAGCCGAGGTGGGTTGGATTCAAGTGAGATCTTGGCAGCTTCCAGTCTTTTTTTGATCGCTGAGTGGACTACTTTTTCATGAGTTTGTCGGTTCTTGTTGTGTTCTGAATTCTGCAAGTCGCCCAATAGAGACTGTTTTTTGAATGCGAAAAAAAAAGAATATAAAACAGAATCAACTTAGTGTGTTGAACGTGTGTCCTAGAAACTTGAGATTGAATCCATATTTGGATGTGAAACCCCCATGCTTACTTTGATTACGTCTCTCTGAGTCAAGTCCTTGATTTTCATCGAGTTCTTCAGGTCCGCCCTCAAGGAGGCAATCAAGTCATCTGGGCCTTTTTCAACGGAATCCGAATGTGTCGAATTCGAGCTGGAGAAGTATGATACCGAAGATTTTGATGCCCAAGGACGAGAAAGGTAGGGTAGTGGTGATACGTTTGAGTCTCTGGCTAGATGCCGTGATATGACATTCCGCAAGCCGATTCCGTTTCTTGCGAGGCCCATTTCTTCGGTGGTTTGTAAAAATCGCCTCGAGTGCCAATCCTCAGCAGTATGTGGGCTTTGAAAATGTATTGATGGAGTAAAAGGTTGGAACCATGCAGCACTCCTGCAAACCATCTTCGCCTTCCGGGCGAGGGCGCAGTGCGCAGTGGGCGGGGTGCGCGCTCAAAAAGCGCGCGATCAGACCGGCAGGGTCCACACTTTCAAGTTCCGAAGTTCTGCAGGGATCATGAGGGGCGTCCCGGGGACGCAGTTCCTTCGGCACCCTCCTTGAGGCTCCAGGTTTCGATCGCCAGAGGCTTTCGTCCCTCCGGATTTTCGTGCGGCTCGAGCTCGGGAGCGCGCAGACCGTCAAACCTTTTCCTGACATAACAAACCAGGCGGGGAAATGATTTCTTTCGCTTCAACTTGTGTTGAGTGAAGTGAGGGGTGCACAGTTGTGAACTCATACCAAAGCCGGACTCCGGAGTACCTATTCGACTGAGCGTAATCTCATTCCACACTTGACTTAGCTTCCGCTGTGAAGAATCTTGCCTCTGGTCCTCATCGGCACGGCACAGGCTGTCCTCATCGAATCGGAGACCCGATGGTGAGCCGAGCTGAGCGCGACGTATTTATCTAGACACACATCTTTCCGATGTTTCGCTGCGGTCGTAGCAGATAAATAATCTGCATCACTGGTCCATGTACAGATTACCGCGACCAACATCATACTCTGAAGACAATCATCAGTTGTGGCGACTGTCATCCTCTCCAACCACCGATTCACATGTCCCCCCTACTCTAGATCCTCTTGGCCGTTCTCCAAGCCCATTTTCTAGAAAATCTAATTGAAGTTGAACCTGAAATCATCAAATGTCAAATTGCCTGTGGTCGGCTTCCAGCAACCCAAGCCACAAGGATCTGCACACTGCGCACAAAATCTATCCAGCCCAGGACCTTCTATGTATCGGGGTAAGGTAGGGTCACACTTTATTCAGCCAATTACTGAACGGTAACTTTAATCTAAGCTCTCTTGTATTTCCCCGCCCAGTTAAACGCGCTTGTGGCCTAGTCATCGCGCCAAAATCTAGGAGAGATTTGCATACAATGCTAATTGATTGACCGAGGCAGGTGCGTGAACTCTTTCCTGAGCTCCATGAAATACTACATTTTCTTGCCTTAGGAGTAGATCTCCCGCCTCAATTGTGTTGCCAAATCGGCTTCGCTTCTGTTTTTCATTGTTTGTCCAAAGGTTCTGAATTTAGTTTGACCTTGGAAGGCGGGGAGGAAAGTCAGGGAGCATGCGTAAAAAGTCAGGGCTGATACTGGAATTGATAGAAGACAATCACAAACATTGAGCAATAGGCCAAGAGACAACGGCGCATTATTATTACTCTTCAGCTTCACGGTGCATAAGTATGATGAGGAGCCAAAGAAGCCAGCTCACAGACTGTGCCTCCTAGGCTTCACCGTCTGCCGCGCGACCCGGAGACACTAGCGCCCCCCCCCCATTCAGAGGTGTGGGGGCCCATAAATGCCGTGGCCTAACTTGACACATAGGCCGGGGATACTAGATAGGTATGACCGGCCGGGGAAGTCGTTATTGTGAGGTCGAATTGTCTGGGCTACATAATATGTGGTGGACGAGCAAAGTGACTTTGCGTTTCATGTTATGGAAGTTGAAAATCAAACCATCCCGGCGTCTGCCCGATAGAGCCGAGTAAATCAGTAGAAACCTATCACCATGCACTCAGCGGATAATAATGGATTAGTAGTTACTAGTGGTGGAGTCAAATTATGTACAACATGCATCACTGGGAAAATAAATGCTTCCCAACAGAGTGCAGGTGACCCGGAAGTTCGCCGGTCCAGGCTGGTCCCCTCTCAACACAACGTACAATTTACATGCGCCAGCGTGACTCATTTCAATCTGTGGGTATCAGTATCATTTTAGGAAATGGAATGGCCGCCCCAGCTCACAGGAATGCAGGCTGTTGACATGGCGAGATTCTCATTTTGATCAATTGCCCCAGCGCCTCAGCGAGTGTTCTTCGGGGCTTGTAAGCTTCGGGATTTGTGTGGAACACCAAGGGCGGAAGTGGTCCGGCAACACAGGTGCTCGGCAAAACCTATCCATAGATATCTTCACCTGTATGTACGCTTTACATCTTTACAGATAGAGGACCTAGCGGTCACGCGAATCGGTGGGCTATCGTTTCATCTTTTAAACAGGTTTCATCAATCCAATGAAGGCATCCTCACAATTTGTATCCAGACATGCCTTCGAAGGATTTCTTGCCTACACATGTACCTGTGTAAAGCTTTCCTGAAACACTTGCCTAATTACGCAGCCTGTCATGCATATTTATGTAGTTCTTTTTGAGGAAATGATGCCAGTTTGATGGAGCAGTTTTCGGCCCATTGCTTATAGCGCTCAGCTCAGACCTCTTCTCTAATCCCGCCTAATCCTTCCCATTCACTATCACAAGTGATAACACTACGGGGATCAATCCTTTCAAAATCTCGTCTGGCAACCCATCTTGCACGAAGCAAAAACCGAGGTCAACATCCCAAAGTTTGATAGGATGGAATTCAAAAGTGAAAAACCGGCTACGCTTAGGAAGTCGGCATCGGCTTACCTTCGCCGAAAGCTATCATCAAAAGCTCCATCGCGCGCCACCACTTTGCCGGTGGAGTCATCAACCTCGAAAACATCGAAGGACACATGCGTGTCCATGCTTCACCCAACCAAGCTTTGCGAAAATCCCCGAATAATCTTACACAACGTTGCTGAGTATTTCTCCAAGGGACTTGAGCTAAATTTTTCATCTGATGATGCCTCAATCGAATCCACTCCCAGCACTAGCTCAAGAACTCAGTCGCCAGTGGAGAACACCAATCCATCTCTTTCCCAACGCTCGCCATCACTCTGTCAAGGAAAAAGCCGGCATTTTCAGAGTCAAACTTGGCCTCCAGCCACACGGCCAATTCTGGGGAGATCAAAGTCCGAGCCAGCGCACGAATCTAAACCCACTCCGTTAAATTCGTATCCAGGACGGTATTCATCCCATTCGAAATTGGATCTTTCTAGATGCGAAAATTCTATGACAACGATCAAATTCTCCAGCACCCCGAACTCCCAAATACACAGCCCAAAACCATCACCTCTTTCCAAAGAAATTGTGTGCGAAATTGAGGAAGTTGACCCCCTTCCTAGAGCGGCCGAAGCGGGAAGCTCGAGAGCGATTCCCAGGTCGCAAGAGAAAGAAAACGATCTCAACCCTCGATTAGCATCCAAAATCAAATCCAAATGTGAAAAGTCCATTCCGCTGGGAGACAGTTCAGAAAAACAAATTCTACACAAAGGAATAGTGGCGCATCAGAAGAATGACATGACTTTGTCTGCAATCCTGTTCGAAAGATGTGCCAAGGAAAATGGTGGATGCGGTGTCGGTATGCTCATGTGGGCACTTGCATTGAGGCATGGATGGGGATGTCCGGTTGATACTTTAAAGGCTTTTGGGTGGTTACAACTTTCAATAGAGACCCTTTTGAGAGAGCTACATCACGCCAAACTCGAAAAACAGCATTACGACGAACTTCACTCTAATGAGGGAACTCCCAAGGATCTACTACTAGCGCAATACTTGATCAATGAAACCAACGGGATCAAATCTGAACTCTTATTGGCATTGTATGAGCTGGGCCAGTGTCTAATGTATGGATGGGGATGTCCAAGGGATAAACGTTTGGTGAATTCTTTATCAATTCAAAGCAATTCGCTTTAGATAGAAGTTTTAACGCTTATCAGTCCTTGTTTTTTTTTTTTTTTTTTTTTTTTTTTTGGAAAAAGGCCGTACAATATTATCACTTGGCAGCAACACTTGGTGATGCTGATGCACAGAAAGGTAAGAACCTGACCATGGATAATTTTTGGCCAGAAATAACAGGAAAAAAAAATGACCGCATAGTTACTCATAATGCCTACATGTTTCTATTCCCACTTGGCTGCTCTGTCCGCTAGAGCTGGCATATTGCTACGAGGTTGGAAATGGCGTCAAGCGAAGTTCTCGAAACGCTGCAAAGTATTATCGAATGGCATGCGCTCAAGGGATCAAAATGATGGGATATCAATGGATATGGAAAGATAAGGTAGGCCAATTTTGTCCTCTCACCCCATCGATCATTAACCTGGCACTTACATTGTTCCTACCATAACTTCATCCCAGTATGACCCTGTCCATTAGAAACACTTGCATGTCTTCAAATCTGTTCTTATCGACATTTTCCAACACCTCAACTTGAAAAAACTAATTGATGTATTCTAAGATCCCCTGCTAAAATCGAACCCCATACATACATTTAGCTTTTCTCGCATAATTCAGATTTAGCATTAATTGATTTTTAGTTTGTAATTCTTGACCTTAATATAATTAACACTCTATCTAATTCCTGACTCAGATAAAAATGCTGAAAGAACAGACATAAGTTGACGAGCGGAATAATCATCAGAGGGTTTTCTCATTTAAGTGTAATATTGATGTAAATTCTGGTCTGCTACACTCCCACTACACCAATAAGGGCTGAATATTTCTAAGAGAAAACATGAAGAAACTCCATATCTGTTGCAGATATTATTATCCTACACTGATATGCTATGTGCTATGCTACAGCTAGAGATAGTATATCTGTTTAAGATTTGCTAAAATACCCCCTAGGTGATGGGGTTAAACATTATGATTATGATACATGCAGCAAGTTGAAGAAGACATACATATCCTCAGAATTAGAAGCAAAAAGGTGGCCAATCAATTCAGCTCAAGTCTTTTTTTCATATTTGAACTACATAACTTCAAGCACCCAATGGAACTTGCAGTATTTAACTCAACAGATAAGCTCTTGGAATCTCATTTGGGGAGATCCACCAGGGATGATTTGTCCAATTGATGTGTGATCCAAACACAATGACCACCAACATAGATCATAATGCCTACATCTTTCTATTCCCACTTGGCTGCTCTGTCCGCTAGAGCTGGCATATTGCTACGAGGTTGGAAATGGCGTCAAGCGAAGTTCTCGAAACGCTGCAAAGTATTATCGAATGGCATGCGCGCAAGGAATCAAAATGATGGGATATCAATGGATATGGAAAGATAAGGTAGGCCAATTTTGTGCTCTCATCCATTCGATCATCAACCTGGCACTTACATTGTTCCTACCATAACTTCATCCCAGTATGACCCTGTCCATTAGAAACACTTGCACATCTTCAACCCTGTTCTTATCGACATTTTCCAACACCTCAACTTGAAAAACTAATTGATGTATTCTAAGATCCCCTGCTAAAATCGAACCCCATACATACATTTAGCTTTTCTCGTATAATTCAGATTTAGCATTAATTGATTTTTAGTTTGTAATTCTTGACCTTAATATAATTAACACTCTATCTAATTCCTAACTCAGATAAAAATTCTGAAAGAACAGACATAAGTTGACGAGCGGAATAATCATCAGAGGGTTTTCTCATTTAAGTGTAATATTGATGTAAATTCTGGTCTGCTACACTCCCACTAAACTGATAAGGGCTGAATATTTCTAAGAGAAAACATGAAGAAACTCCATATCTGTTGCAGATATTATTATCCTACACTGATATGCTATGTGCTATGCTACAGCTAGAGATAGTATATCTGTTTAAGAGTGGCTAAAATAACCCCAATGGTGATGTTGCTTTCAATATACATGTAGTTGGTTACATCGAATGAGCACTCATGATGATTTAGGATTTACAACAACCAGATTTCTGAGAATGATTGGAGGACTTGTTGCCATTTAGAGTGCTTTTTAAGCCCTCCCCATTCCTAAATTAACACCTCCATCATAATTCCAACCAGCTCACATGAGAGCTATCTTCACAAGGCTTGAGCAAAAAGGTGATCAATCAATTCAGCTCAAGTCTTTTTTTCATATTTGAACTACATAACTTCAAGCACCCAATGGAACTTGCAGTATTTAACTCAACAGATAAGCTCTTGAAGTCTCATTTGGGGAGATCCACCAGGGTTGATTTGTCTGACTGATGATTGATCCAAACACAATGACCACCAACATAGATAAAAGTTGAAACTGGTATAAAATTGTACTAAAAAAATCACATGCAATTCAAAAATTAATTAACACAAGAACACATACTAAAGTTAAAGTCTTATGGTTTTGCTAATAAATAAGAAAATATGAATAGTATAAATAATGATCAAGTAGTTTGTAATTAATAAGCAAGAAGATCAAGTTAATCCAAAACAAAACAAATTAAATCTTAACTATAGAATTAGAGAGCAGGAAGAAAATGAAAATGAAAAACAAAAACAAAAACAAAATGCAATGAATTGTTGGATGCTTCCTAGAGAAAGAAGATCCAAGGAAAGTGAAGAAAATGTGTGCCAAGAATGTCGGTTTCTTTTGATTAACTATGAAACAACAAAAGAGTTTACAATTTATTAAAGAGAAATAGTGTTGTTGGAGCCAAAGATGAGACCACTATTTTGTCAGAAGCCAAAATCTAGGCCAAGACCGGATGTTTTAATTTGTTCAAGAAGACTGTGATTTTCGGTATGAAGGTGGGGGAGATAGAGGGCTTGATTTTGCCTCACAGAAGACAAAACCTGAGTAGGCTCGCCTCGAAAACTATCAAAACTGTTGCTGTTATAAGAGTTGCTATCCATTTCACTTGGATCAGAGGCTAACTCATCATTAGAGAACTCTAGCTCTTTAGCCACCAAGCGATGACGAGCCGACCACCAGTTACGCTCTTGCCTTTCCTGGGCATGGATCGGAATCTTTTGGAAGGCCGGGTTAGAAGGGTCCAGCAGGTCAGATAGGTCGTCTGTCTGGCCTCTCAAGCTTAGTTCGGGCGATCTCAGTGCTTGATGGAACGCTGCAAGCCACCTAAATCTTTCTTTCTGGACGGTTTCATACGTCGATGCTTGTGATGATCCTGGTAGCCGGTCGGGGAAGGTCAATAAAACTGAAACTGGTGATTTGGCCGTGTACTGAGTAGAGTTAACTTCTCCAAGTGGTAGCAAGTCAAGCTTCAATAGATGGGGGTATTCTGTTGACAACAAAAATGAATCAGTAATCAGTTTTAAAAATGGAATCATAAAAAATGGGAGGGGAATTTAAGCCAAGCTGCAGACAAAACTGCTTTGATAAAGACACGTACCAAGCTCGCCTGACACATCCGAGACGGCCACTAAACGTGATAGGCCCACTTCTTCGAGCACCGAGTAGTGCGACAGTGACTCTTTCTTCTTTTTTTGAAGCGTAGCCGAACGAATGAGACGCACTCCGTCGCTATGTCTCCTGGCAAGGAGAATAAGGTCCGAAAAAACGAAGACATGAACCGGTGTTTCTTTCGGTTTTCTGTAGGCTCGACTGGATGAGAGACTCTTGCGCCGACTGAGCTCTTCCGGCTGGGACTCATATGCGCCACTAGCCCGGGTGCGGAGATAGTGCTTCGGATCTTGCGGTTGCCCCGAAAGCTGGGAGGGGGTCATCCGATTGTGGAATTGCTGACTACCGAGTGGGAACGGGTTTTGAGGTGAGCTCGGGTAATTTAAGAAGCTCGGCGGCTCGTTTTCACGATTCGCCAGCGAAAAACGGTGGGATTTGACAGATTGGACACTCGGCGAGAAGGAAGAAGCGAGGCTGTGCTGACTCATATTGCTATGATACGAGCTCCGAGAGGTTGACCTTGCAGTGTATTCGCTGGAATGCCCGGATTGCGGCGAAGATCCTGAACGGCTCTGATTTGTTTGCGTCATTTGGGGATTCATTGGCCACAGATTGCCTTGAGCGCTTGAAAGGTGATGTATATCTCGAGTGGGCAGTTGGACTGTTTTCAATAATCCTTGCGCCAATAGTCTTCGATCTCGTCTGGCCAACTTGAACCCGAGGGGTAATCCTCTCACTCTGCTTTCCATTTTTTTGAGTTTCTCGTACTCATCCTCGCGTTCTTTGACTTCCTGAAGCACCCGGATCATGGAGTCAGTGGCGTTGAACAAACAGACAGTTGCCTCATGGTCAGGATGAGCTGGGGGTGTGACATCGCAAAGTTGCTAAAAAAAAGTTGACAAATGTTAGTTAATGATCACTAAAAAAAACTGGCGGCATATCGAGATCAACGGACCTTGTAAAATAGAGGGTATTTCATAAGACGCTGAATCGGCTTCAGCAGGAAACTAGTCAGACTCATCCTCCCACATTCAGGCAAGGAGCTTTGCATGCGAACGAATTCACCAAAGTCGCTATCAACATTCGCGACCATCTCCTCGATTGCAGCCGTAACTTCACTGAAGCGGACAAGATAGGGCTGATAGACCTCGAGTTTAGGGGTCAGCTCAAGGAAGACTTCGGAGATGTGAACGACTAGGCCGAGCGCCTCGGTCTGGTACTGGCAGCAGGTTTTGGCCTGGAAGGCCATCTGTGAGTGCAGATTCACGATGTCCTCAAGCCAGTCCAGGAGCCTTGCAACCTCAGTCGGCACGCCTGAGATCCATGCCCCTTCGGGTGTTCGTAGGGGAAAGGCAAAAATCTCGATAACCTGGCGCAACCCCATGGCGAAAGAATGTTCCGTTTCGCATAGCTCCCATATTAGCTCCTGGCGACGCATCTCCACGGCGCCGTACATACTCAATAAGTTGGCATATGCGTTCTTCGACATTGAGTTTTTCCATGTCGAAGGCACGCTTGGGGCCGCTTGGTTTGCATTCGAATGGACGGGACTCTGAGATAGGGAGCTGAGGGGCGTGACTTGGTGATTGTTTACCTCACTCAGAATCGTCTCAGATTGTTCATCGCTCGAGTTTTCCTCATAGCCGACATCTTTCGCACAAAAGCTTAATATCTTCGACAGTTGGCGCAAGTGGACCGAGCGGACACTGGTCTTTTTCCGGGGAGACGGGGACGAGAGGCTATTTGGCTTTCTGAGCGCAGCAAGCCCCTCAAGTGAAGAGGTGCGTGACACGCGAGCATTATCATAACGAGGTTCAGAAGGACTGATAGTCGTTGGATGCGCTGGGTAAAGCGCTTCTGAGGAGGCTTGATTGCGAGTCGTTGGATGTCCAGGGACAGGCGATCTCACGTCACGGCGTTGTGGGGATGATTGTGGCTGGTTTGAGGGCAGATGCGATGATTTTCGAGGGGTTTGCGAGTCATATGGAGTTTCTGGAATCGGTGCAGCATTTTGCGGTCGCTGATTATGTTTTTGTAGGTTCTTTTTGGGGTGCAGCTGAGAAGAAGCTTTCTGTGATTGGTACAATTCTTCGAAGGACAGCTCTTGACAAGTATCGGAGTTAGAATGCGTTGAGCTCAGGAAGCTGTCGGCATAGCTCTCTGAACGAGGAAAGGCTCCAATAATTGACACGGTAGCATGCTTTTTATGCCCCTGTTCCGCACCGGAAAGTGTTTCCAACTGCGGTAATTGGTCGGGTGATTGAGGCTGCAAGTGGGACGAACTTTCGGAGGAACTTTGGTTGATATGAGACGTAGCTGCTGGCTTGTTACCAGCACTGATTGGTTCATGTGGTTCAGTACTTTCAGCCGCTGACCAGAATTGGTCATCTCCTTCCTCTGCACTTTCAAAATCATCAACTTCATCTTCAGTGCCGCTATTGGCGACGAAGGAAGTGGTGGACTCCGAGTCTGGGCAGAGATCGACTGGAACCCCCAACTTTTTCCCGGATGATTTCGGTCTTCCGCCCTTTCTACTAGGGGCTCTTGGCGGAATGGCTGGACGAGGTCGGCTTTCATTGGGCAAAGGCTTGAATAAGTTTTGATTAGGTGGCAAGTCTTGTTGATTTCTTGAAGACATCATAGTTTTCGGGTTGAGCTGATTGACTAGCATGGCTGAGGTGGGGAGGGGGGCCGGGCTGGACCTGGCAGAGTCTGAGACGGATGAAAGGTTCAGAACAGAAGTAAGAATGAATTTGATCAAAACAATAAAATGAAATAAAACACGAAGTAGATTGATTGCGAGCAGATACTTACCATAGATAGAGCCTGCGTGGCCGGCTGGCGTGTTGCTTGTCAAGTAATCCTTTGCGGACGTTTTAGCAATATGAGAGTCTGTATCGCGTCCAGAGCTGATGGGCGACAGATCTGGGGGCTGACCAGCAGCTCCTCGCCGGTTGCTTCGCGGGGGACGAGCAGGGGGCTTGATTGACTTATCTTCTATTTTTGCAAGAAGTGAATCAATGGGCAATACAATGCAAGAATCGTCGGGTGAACCTTCAGAGATGAGTTGAGGTTTTTTGGGGGGCAAGACTGTCCCGCTTCTTTTGCGACCGTTAATACTGGGCCGAGTTGTGGCGAGAAAGGATAGCTTTTCAAGTGGTGAAATAAGCGGATCTGAGTCGGATTTGGTGACGAGTTCTCCGGAGCGATAGTGTTGTTTTATTAGGGAAGAGGCTGAAGTAGCTGAGGAGGGCAGCTCATTAAGTCTGCCATTGCTTTCTGTGTCAAGTTTGTTCTCCCGGTAAGAATTGATACCAGCGGGAATCTTATCAGGAGGTGGAGGAAAGGTTGTATAGGTGGATGAAGTCGTTGAAGAAGAAATCGTTGATACGGGCCTTGAATGGTGATTGAAATTCAGGCTTTCATAATTGCTTGAGGACATCGGTTCATCGTCTGACTGGTTGGACATGTAACTCAGATTGTGACGGGGCTTGTCGGCAAATAAAGTGCTGTGATCCGTAAAATAGCCAGCTGGAGGACTTGGATTCGAGTTCAGCGAAGTGAGTTGATCAACCACGTCCGTCCCAGCGGCAAGCACATGATCAGGGGTATTAAAGTCTGACATACTGTGAGCGCGTTGGCGGAAGTGGGTTTGGTCGAAAGCTTCTGCATTTTTTCTCTGTCGTAATGAAGAATCAATTGCAGCTTCTGGGTAGAGATGATGATTAGACCAGAGGGTATCGTCAGAAACAATCATTGAGGTTGTCCGAGAGCGTTTTGTGGAGGCTGAAGGTAGTGTGAGCAGGAGGCTACCGCTGGAGGAACTCGAATCAGGGTGACCAGATGGACCAATTCCCTGGGATGTGGCCACATCGACCGTGGGGGCCTTGACGGAAGGTACAACTAGCTGGCTTGGCGATCGAGACTTAAGGGCACTCTTGCGTCGAGAAAGTCGCGTGCTAGCTTCGCGGGTTGGGCCTATGATGGGATTCTCAGCAAACCTCGCTCGGGGTGAGGGAGAAGGAAGATTGGCAGTTTCTCTTCGATTATTATAAGGTAGGGAGAGTGTTTCAGACTCTAGGGGCAACTGTGATACAATAGGAGGATGAAAGGATATCAGCAAGCTACATAGAAAGGGATCTAAAACAGGACTAGACAGCTGCGCTGAAACAGCAGATCTGTCTCACACTGGCGAGTCCTTGGTGGTTAGGGGCCCGGCTGATGGATGATGTGGCAATGGATGCACGCCTTTGAAGCCCTGGGGAGAGTCAGTGGATTAGGCTCAAGTGCTTAAGGCAATGCTCGCGATGTGGGTAATTTGTGGATGGATGATGTTGGACGGGTTGAGCTGACTAACCGGTTGTCTGCTCTAAAGTGACCCACATAGCCCCAAAATATGTGTGATGATTCGTAGCTTATTCAGGAGGATTGGCCGTCCGGCTGATGATGTTGTTGTTTGGTGGTGAGATTATTTTCTTGTTTGACAGATGATGCAGCTTCAAGTTTCCATACGAGACAAGATATTTATGTAGTCCGAGAGGAGGATTATTCGAATCGGTTTAAAGCCAACCTTGTTCAGTTGGAAAGGACCTCGAATTCTGTGGATAGAGATGAAGGCAGCAACCCTCCGGCGAAATGGATGGCCCAAGTTCGGTGGAAATGCTCTGGTGTCTGGATGGATTGAAAGAAAAGTGGAAACAGGAAAGACGCGCTGGAGGAAGGAAGTAAACAGTGGTGTATCACTGAGACGCGAAGGTGGTGTTATTTCTTTCGCTGTCAATAGGATGCTCAGACATCAGCTCATCCGAGGATGCTATGCTAGCTCACCCGTCCGTTCCTGAATCCGAACGCGTCATACTGCTTATGCGCAGGAACCTCGGTGCCGTCGGCGTGGTGGGCTTGGGCACCGGGAGTGACTAGGGATGATGCCGTCACTGCATCGGACCTGGAATTGGTATGCACATGAATATAAAGCTGATTTACTCAGGACCGATGTTTCCTATTTATTGCTCTCACATCATATGTATTATCATCGTCTTCTCATCATCATCCGATTCTTTCCACCCGCTTGCCGAACCCCACTTGGGCGCCCCGGACCCAAGGCACTGATCGGGTTCATGGTCAGCTCATCAAGTGACGCTCCCTGTAGCCGAACCTACATCCTTTGCCTCAAGCCGCATTGAGTTGCTCCCGGCGCTTGGCGTTCGTCCAGTCACCACCGGTCACTCGCGTACCCAGACATCCTCCTAGTAACAAAATTCAAATATGGTGGCCTCAGGCTCCAACGCCGGCAACAACTCTTGAAAAGCAGTAGCTGAATGCGTTTATCGACATTGCTCAACTCGCGACTCTTGTACATCGGTGTCAGCTTATGGGAAGGGGGGAACATTTATCCACATTCGCATCAACATTGGCCTGGATGACAATTTTACTGAACAGGCAGTTTGATCTTTCACCTGACGAATACATGAGACCTAAAAGCTAACCAGGGAACCAGTTACAACGGAACAAGGCTACTGGTATTTCGAGATGAAGTTTCCAGCGGGAACGTCAGATAAACATAATGTTGGACTCTTTTCATCAACTGTTGCTTAAGGCGACGGTGGAGTCTATGCCGACCCTGAAGGAAGAGAAACGCTGCATTTCGATGGACGAGATGCTTTGCATGCTGGAATTGAAATTGTGGATTCCAAGAGATGATCATCATTCTAGATAAAGCCAATTGCTGGGGATAATAACATGTCACTGTTGTGACTGAGAACTGAATAGAAACTTTGGTGGGATCTCTGAGATTTTATTTTGTTTCTTCTAAGATGTAAAACATGGTTCAATTTTTCCATGATTTTTTAGATACACTGCTGTACATATATAGCAATGCAAGTGGTCAGCAGCCATCAGCAGCACAATGGTTGATTTGGGGATACATAGGGCTAGCAGATGACTCACAGGCCTTGTGCCAGTGGCAGTTCAGGTTAGCCTAAAATTGTTGCTTTATATGTTTGAACAAGTTCACCATTTATGCATGGTTACTTTTTCAGTCAAGTTCATTTGTGAGATTGTGCTTCTAAAGGGGATCTACCATGCAAAATGTAATGCTTTTCAGAAATGTTTGCAGAGGTTGGTTTTAATAAAGCCTTTCCATAAGTGGCTGTCACCTCCAAATAATTTCAGTGTTGATTTCTGAAATTGCATTCCCAATAAAACATGCATAAATTTTGTGCTAACACAAAAACTTTGTGGCTGTTTCTGCCCCAAAATCTGGATTCAGCTTGGACAGATATGTATCAGTTTTGCTCTAACTGGGTTACATTTATGTGTTAGCATCAACCCCATGCATTTTTTGTATTAGAAAGAATTTCTGAAACCAAGATTGAATTTTTTAGAGCTTACAGTTGCAGACGGCAAAAACCAACCCTGGATTTGGAGGATGTCCAAATAGTTTAGCTGAAAAATTAGATTTTTTTGTATTTACATGGTTTTCCAGCCCTTTTGGGGCAAAAGAGTAATATGAAACTGACTCAGAATGTTGAATAAACACTCCAAGTTGATGCTACAGGCACTTGAAGGACCTCGAAGAGGTATAAGACAATGGATAAGCCTAACTTAAGCCCATAAATATGGGTTTAAGTATGGCTTTTGGTATGCATGTCTGGATACATGTATGTCACACAAATAAAAAAAAAAAAGAACCACTGCAGTAGAAGCTTAGTGGTTACAATTTTGAACTCTACACATCTGTAGGAGTTCAAATTGTAATAAAAATAAGTATCAGGGTACATGCCCCTGGGCATAGACCCCGCGTGTCAATCTTTGATTTTGCAGGCGGGGCATGGTCGGTTTTTGCCATCTGCAACTGTACAATGATTTCTAGAATGGCTTCAATGTTAACCATCAGATTAGAAGACCAACATCTTGTGGACACAAATCATAACTTCACAGAGTGGAATGAGAGGGTTCAGTTATGCAAGTTTTATTCTTATTGATCACTTTGCCAATCAACCTGTGGATTAGATGCAAGATGATGATACAGGCCTCATCAAGTAGAATCATTCAAAATTCTTGTGTCACTGGTGGTTAATTAGAATGTGAATCATGTTTGGTTTTGTGGAAAGATCATTCATGAAAATGAGAAAATTGTTGCTGACATTGGGGTATGCTTCTTATTAGCCTGGTTCAAATTAGCCAGTTCCAATGGCTGATCACCTTGTTAAAAGTTGCTGATAGGAAAATATTTTTTTGGATGGATCTGGCATAATCTGGGGGACTCTGGAACACACATTCAAAAATGGAGGTGTTTTTGAGTATCAATGATTTGCTGATTACAGCTAAAATGTTTGTGTTGAAACTTCGGTCCAAGTTATGTCACTCTAACTTGTGACACTCCGGTGAAACAAAGACTGTCTCATCAAATTAAACCTAATCTCAGACCACGGATGTTCTCCTTTCAACTCGACCAACCGCTCTCTCCTCTCTTTCTCCTTCCTCATCGATCATCCACACTCATCGATCACTACACCGCTCAACTCACTGCTCACTGCTCAACTCACCGCTCACCGCTTAACTCAACGCTCTCGATCAAGTTAAATCAACTCACTCATCGACCGTCAACAAGCAACGGCGAAGCTTTAACATAGGACAGCCTTTGTAGCTTCCAACTTGGTGAGAAATGCACTACGAGCATTTCCGGTTATCCTCTTCTCTTTTTTATTCTGCTCATGACTAACTCTCTCTCTTTGAATATCATTAGTTATCTTCTAGATCTTGGTGTCTATCTATTTTCTCTATTTAAGACTCATCACACCTAATTCAATAGGGTTTGTTTCTCTTTCTTGTCGTACCTCTTGTAAACACTTCAACCAACTAATCTTTTTTACTTGTCTACCAGTCACTGCTGTTCCTTCTCTTATTATTATTCCTTGTTGTCTGTCTTGGATAAAGTTCTTCCACTACGGGGTTAGTTTCAAGTTCTCCTCTTCTATTCTGATTTCTATCATCTAACCTTGTTTCTCTAGTGTCTGGTTTTTTGGTCTTTTGAAATAAACAGTCTCAGTTTCTTCAGTTTGCTGATGACTGGCTATTGTGAACCGGGCTCTTGATGTGAGCCAATGCCAATTGAGACAGCCCATGCAAGCATAAATAGTGGGACTCACTGCTATTTCATGCTCATATAAGCATAGGTAGTTGTCACAGGCCTCAGTTGAGCAACATCTGCCCTCAAATTTCACATCAATATTGTGTCAAACAAAAGATCTTGAATGGAAATGAAGAGCTTACCATCAATATTATTCTGGATTATATTCAACAACTTAAAAGAGAAATCAAATTGACAAGAAGGATTCCTACCTCAATTGGTGTGAAGCAAATGTTGACAATAAAGCCACCCATAAACAGGACATGAGCTTCTTGGAGCTGCATCCAATACTGATGCACCCCAATTCCCAGTTGAAGGACCAAGATTTAGGGCAGCTCTATACTTTCAAGTATTTGCTTATCAGAAACAACTATCTCTCAACTCTGGCCCTGAGAGCAACAAATAAAAATAATGATGTTCTACTAATTCTTATCTCCAGGCCTCACCCAGCACACTTTGTGGAGTTGCTCATTTGTTTGGGCTTTTGAGAGAAACCCCACCACAGAGTTTAAAATGAGGGTGTAAAACTCATTCAATCCCCAGGCTCCCACCCAAGGATACAAATTGGGTTCCAGATCAATCCAAAATGTTAAAATCATCATTGCAAGTGTTATTCTGCATCCTGTCTGCATACTACAAATGTCTGTGTGGAAACCAACCACTGATCAATCATCATCCCCCAACTCATCCTCTCACACAGTGCACACACGTCACACACTTTTACATCCCCATTTACCTGCCTCAAAACTTGGGTTCAGGCCACACAAGATTTTGACTTCAAAAATCTGAATTTGGGATGCATCACACAAGTTTTACCCCCACATTCAACACTGTGTGGCGGAGTTTCTCTAATAGAAGAAGAGAGTTGAGAAAATCTTAGTGTAACTATTCATGTACACACTTCCCAGTGTTCATGAGTGCATACAGTCAGCACCCACTTTCCAAGGAGGAAACTTCTTTGACCAGTGGGTACCAGGTGTTCACACTTTCCAAATTCCATGGAGGAATTCTCCTTAGGGGGTTGGCTTGCGCTTATCAACCCCCTTCTCCTTTCACTTTCAGTCTGAGCATAAACCCTCCTGGGACAGTGTGTGCTGACTACAGTAAAATCAATCTTTGAGGAGTAAATTGGTGTTGGAAAATTGTGAATATTCCTTGACTGAAGCACAGCAATCCTGTTGTAAGAAAGCACTGCCACCAGGTTTGTGAAATCTAAATTTCTTCATATTTATGTTTTTCATCACTTCCTGTGTATTTTGCCTGATTTCAACTCAATATCCTGTTATTCCCTCCACCTGAAATGAATACAATCATTCACCACCATTGGAATGTGGGTCTAATGTGTGAGGACAACTCGAGTGATGAATGTGATCGTGAATTGGTGTTGCTGGAGTGCTACTGTGGCTCAAGCGGATGCAGCAATCCCGCTGGGGATGCTCTATATCTGCTCGCTTTGGTCCGCTGCCGGTCTCCTGTCGGGGGTCTTGTGTTACTCCGCGGGGAGGGTCCAGCCACATCGCTGGCTCCAACCCGCCGACTCTCAACTGGGCCAACAGAGACCATCAGCCAAACCAAACCAAAAAAATTAATATCAACAAATAGTCACACAAAACCTGAAAACCATCTCCTACTTACCAGCCACACATCAGATATCCATCGATCACCATCTCCGAAAGCCATGTCCGACCTGCCTCCAGACCTGCCCGCTCCCCAGCAACTCCAGCCGATCTACTACGATCCATCTGGCACCGATGGATCTCGGAAACGGTCATCCGTCGAGCCTGCCGACCCATCCTCCTCAAACTCGAACGCAGCCTTCGATGGCCCTGAAAAGCGACAGAGGATGGACGAGCTGCGAATGGCTTCACACACCACTGGGCTCCCGATCGATCAGTTCTCGACATCAGCCCAGAGGCCCCTCCCGAATCCTGATCGATCACCTCAAGCTGAACCCATCCTGCCAAATGACGCGACCCAGGCCCCGTCCTCACAACAGCCCCCTGGCACCGATCAAGACCAATCCTCAGCTAACAAGGACCAACCCGGGAAGGCACCACCGCCCTTCGACCAACGCAAACGACAGGAGGAGCAGGCGAAACAGTATCTACTCGCCCAAACCCAAGCCATCATCATCCCTTCCTACGCCGCTTGGTTCGATCTCACCAAGATCCATCCCCTGGAAAAGAAATCATTGCCCGAGTTTTTCAATGGAAGAAATCGCTCGAAGGTGCCCTCGATCTACAAGGACTATCGCGACTTTATCGTCAACAGTTATCGCCTCAACCCATCCGAATACTTAACCGTCACCGCCTGTAGACGAAACCTGGCCGGTGATGTCTGCGCAATCATGAGGGTACATGCCTTCTTGGAACAGTGGGGGATCATTAACTATCAGGTGCGTTTGGCCCGCTCGCTATCACTGTACCACAGCAGTCTACCTGAACTGACGCGACTTGATACTTCATTTCACTTCACAAAAGGTCGACCTGGATACGCGACCGACTCCAGTCGGCCCACCGTTTACTGGACACTTCCGCGTGCTTCTTGACACCCCTAGGGGCTTTATGCCCCTTCACTCGGGCACCGTCTCGCGCAAAACACCCGCCTCTCTATCTGCTCCTGCCGCTCCCTCGACACCGGCTCCTCCTGGCTCTGCCCCCTCTCAACAACAGCCAAGCGCGCCTTCTAACATCGATCTGCGCAAGGATATATACTCAAACTCATCTGAATCTGGACCACAAGTGATTCGATGTGATGTCTGTGGGACGGACTGCAGTAAACTCTCCTACCACCATACCCGGCTCAGGAACTACGATATTTGTCCAAACTGTTATCAGGAAGGACGCTTTGGTAGTCAGATGAACTCGGCCGAATTCATCAAGCTCGACCGGCCGACCGGAGTGCCAGTCGACTCGAAATGGACCGACCAAGAGCTCCTCCTCCTGCTCGAAGGGCTCGAGATGCATTCGGATGATTGGGAGAAAATCGTGCAACACGTAGGGGGAACTAAGACGAAGGAAGAGTGTATCCTCCAGTTCTTGCGCATGCCGATCGAGGATGAATTCTTACGGAACTCGAACGCCGAACTGAATACGAGCTCGGTTCTTGGACTAGGCAAGATCCCGTTGAGTGGAGCCGAGAACCCGGTGCTATCGGTCTTATCCTTCTTGGTTGGATTAGTCGAGCCCGAACTGGTAGCTGAGATGGCGGGGAAAACGGTAGATAAGATCAAACAAGATCTACGATCCAAAGTCCTCGCGATCCAGGAGGATAGCGCACGTAAATTGAGCGAATCGCAGAAGACAGGTGAAGAAACAGAGGCCGGGCCCGATCTGACGATGGATGCTGGTGAAACGAAAGCCCCAGCAGCAGTTGAAGAGCCGAGCCATCAATCGATGGAGATTGACGAGTCGAGTCCAGCGCCCAAACGGACGGCAGTGGAGATAGCGGCAGCAGCATTTGCATCGGCCTCGGCCAAAGCTCTTGTGCTGGGCTCGGAGGATGAGGTGGAGCTGGGGAAGCTGATGGAGACGGTGACGGAACAGACGATCAAGAAGCTCGAGTTGAAGCTCAAACAGTTCGAACGACTCGAGTCGGCCGTCGAAGTCGAACGTCGCAACCTGGAACAGTGGCGCCAGAACTTGAGCATGGAACGTCAGGCCGTCGTCAAGGAGATCGCCGAATTCAAGAAAATGAAGGCCGGGACTGAGAGCGCCTTGGATTCGCTTCGTGACGAACGGAACGGCTTGATGGGCCTTCCTGTCCAAGCTGTACCCGTCCCACCTAACGAAATCAATGGGGATCTCGGATTCGGAGAACCAGGTCAAGGAACTCTGAATATGAGATGAAAAAAAACCCTCAAACCAAAAAAGCAAACAAACATTAGTTCTCTCTCCTTTATGCTTGTGTGTGTGTTGTATTGTATTTCTTTCTTTCTTTTTTTTGTCTATTTGAGGCTTCTCAAGAAGAAAAAAAAGAAAGGTGGTCTGAATTTGTTAATGTTGAGATTACAGACCCACATCTACATAGCTCTTTTGGGGATAAACAAAGTAGTAGTAATAAGAAAAACCTATCATGAAAGGAAAATTAGAAGAAGAAGAAGAAACGCAATACATATCCATCCGTCTCTATTTTGTCTCCAATATATACATATATATAGATCTTACAATCTAGATGATCATTGTTCTACGTCTTGTTGGCTATTCAAAGCACATCAATCAACCAATGTTGGTGTTTCTTTGGTTGGTGGATATCCGGATCGGTGACATGTACATTCCATGCACCTTCATGTGAGAAGTAAAATGATGGGTGTTCAGAGAACCCAAGCAAAAAGAATGCCCCCAAAATGAGGGGGGGAAAAAAAAAAAAAAGGTGCCCCAACCAAGTTTTGAGTGGGGGGGGAATGGCCCAGTTTGTTCAGAGCAAAGATTCCTCAGAAAGAGGACACTTTTTTTGGCTGGCCCCCCCCCCCCCCCCCCCCTACTTCCACTTCTCAGCCTTGGTTGACCTTGGATCCAGATGAGGGGAGATGAACAAATTGTGTGCTGCACATCATAGGATCCCTGTACTTTGGTTGACACTATATTATATATGTTCATTTTCAAGCTCATATATTAGAAAACAATTAAAATCAGAAATCAAATTGAAATTCATGGGATGGAAATCGTAGCTGTGGTCGAAATGAGAAAACCACAAAAAAAAAGAAAGCAAGGTTATTAATTATTTACAAGAAAAAGAAAAGAAATGAGATGAGATGATTAAAATCATTCAAAATCAATAATCAAGCAATTCAAAAAAAAAAAAAAAAAAAAAAAAGAGAGAGAAAAGAGAGAAACCAATCTGTTTACAAGAATGAGAATGAGTGAGTGAACAAGAAGAGAATTCTGGTTGTCATTGTCTCCTTCTTCCACACATCATCCTCCTTGGATCGTCCTACCAAGTTCCACTCACCCAGCCACATAACCAAACACCAAACACACAACACTACTGCAAAGACTACTCTATCTATAAACTCTTCACTCCTCAAAAGCCATCAATCATCTAAGACCATTCGGCAAACAAATAAACATATTTACATCAACAACATAAGCTTGAAATCAACACGAAAAACAAAAAACAAACAAAAAAACTAAGTCAATCTTGTTGGAGGACTTCAAATACTCATGATGATCACCACCAAAGAAAACAAAAACAAAACCAAAAACAAAAACAAACACAAGATGTGATAGTATCTTAACTTCTGTCTATGCATACATACATACATATCTTAATCTCAATCTCAATCATGATCAACCTTATAAATATGTTAGAGATCTACGAAAAACAAAACAAAACAAAGAAACAAACGAGACTTCTTTGCAAGTAGAACCTATATATGGATGTATATCTATACCAAATTGTTTATATATAAGTTTTGTTGATGTTTGACCGAGTTTTAGAAAACTTTCAAATGAAAAAAAGAAGGAAGAAAGAAAGAAATCCTAACCAAATAGTGATGATAACAGTCAAGTGATAATAATGAGAAAAAAATTATAAGAATACGAACAGCTTGTGAAGTCGTGAAGTTTTTTTTTTTATTGATTTGTTGGTTTTTTTTTTTCAATTAGGAAAAGAGGAGATTTTCCATGACGAACTCTATGTCAAAAACCGGGGTTTTTTTAAAGCCGGGTTTAATTGGAGTGAGCGTGTGAGAGCGATGTGTCAAAAAGGTGAGCGTAGGAAGGTGTTCAAGGCGATCGAAACGAAGAAGGAAGCGGATGGAGGAGTGAGGTGTTTTGTTTTTTTTTTCTGAAGGAGGGAAGAAAGGGTTATACAATAAATCAAAATAAGTCGACGTTCTCGGTTAAGGTATCTAACCAATTCGCGTATTGGATTATGAAATGAACTTGTTGAGGGGTTTCGATAGCTTTAGGACTGAGAGAAAGAAAAAAAAATGAAATCCGATCAATCAACAAAGAACCAAGAAACAAGAATCTATGAGAAGAAAAGGCAACACTGACCTTCTTCTTCTACGAATCACTTCGATCACTTTTTCGACTTGACCTAAGACGGAGTTCTTGGGGGCCAATTGATGGCCATCGACGAAGGAGAAGACATCATGAACGGGAGCTTGTTGTTGTTGTTGGTGAGGATGTTGGTGAGACTGGTAGTGGAACTGATCCTGAAAGTTAGAGGTAGTGAACCCAGCCTGCTGATTGGGATGATGATAATCGGCGGTGGGAAGATGATTAGAAGGGTCTGAGATCAGACTGGGTTTATTGATCAGGCCGATCTTGAGCATCCAACAGCATGCCACCAAGCCAGCCCTGCCGACGCCACCACGACAGTGACAGAGGACATCGATGCCTTGGGTGGTGTAGGTCTTGATGACCTGGTCGAGCACCTCGTTGACCTCCTTGATCCCCTTCTGGGGTGCAAAGCCCTCAGCGATCGGGATCCGGATCACCGAGAGACCGCACTCGAGCGAGATCCGGGAGTAGTCCGGCCAGGGCGAGCCGAGATATTCGAGCTCCTCGTCGTCCAGACAACAGATGATCGCCCGGATCCCGATCGAATGGGCCCGGCTGAGGTCTGACTTCAGGTCCCGACAGATCGGAGAGCGATGGTTTCCGGTGGCCTGTCGTTGGGCGGCAGTCTCGTTCATCCGAACTTTCTTCCCCGGACAGGAAGATAATAATAGGTTGCCTAACTTGAGCTCCTCCCCACCACCTCCGACTACTTCCCCCGATGATGATGATGATCCTTCTCTCCTTCCTCCAGCCTGTTCATCTCGGTTTTGTGTGTTGGTCACTCGTTGGTGATGGTATTGCCAAAATGCTTCGATCGCTTTCTCCGGTTCCAAGCTGGTTAGATCGTATAAATCGATCGGTAACTTGTTTGATCCAGCCCGATGATTAGCAGTCTTCAACATGTACAATAGTCCCGAGGTGAGTTCGGGTGGTATGACGGGTGAAATGCTAGAGATAAGATTGAGATGGGTGGAAAAAAAGTCAGTTTCTCTTGTTGATTTTTCTTGGCGTGCATTTCCTTTTTTTTTCTAATTGATTGAGCTTTGAAGTAGTAATATATATAGAGAGAGATACATACTTCATGGGATGTGTTTGACTAGTTTTGACTGATTGAACTTTGACCAAGAGGTGATTGGGTGTAGGAGTTCCATTGGGCACAGTCGTAGGAGGATGGGATTGTTGGTCTGAGGAAGGGCCGGTCAAGTTGGGATCGACTGGGGAGAGGTTTTCAGAGTCGGTTTGGGCTGGTGGTAATGGGATATTTCGGGTGGAATTTTGATCTGGATGAGCTGTCAAAACAGATGGATTAATTTAGTGGATAGTTAGTTTTTTTGGGGGGGTGTTTGTTTGGCTTACGTTGTTGAGGGTTCTCATTTTGAGCGGGTTGGATGGGTTCTTCTGGTTGGGGGATTGCTGAGAGTGGATTGGGTTGTTTGAGGATTGGATCGGGGCCATGCTGGTTAGAAGAGTGATCGAGAGTAGGGTTTTGGTTGATGAGTGGTAAGAGTGTGGTGGTAGGGATGGGAAGGCTTTCCAAGGGTGGCAGTTGTTGTTGTTGTTGGCTTTGATGATGATGATGATGGTGGTGGTTGTGGTGATGACGGTGTTGACGATGTGGTTTGCTAGGTTGCTGTTGCTGTTGCAGTTGCTGTTGTTGGTTGATTTGGATTGGATGTGGTGTTCGTTTGAATCGATTGTAATCTGATAGACTGTGAGTTAAGTTGTTACAGTGTTAGTTTCAGTTTTACTAGTGTTAGTTTAGGATGGGTTTTTTTTTTTGTTTTTGTTTCTTAACTGGTGTTGGGATGACATCCTGCATAGCCTCTCGCCCATCTCTGGTGTGACTAGTGGTGATGGGCTGGGTAGTGCTTTGATGAAGTGGTTTGGGGAGAGTTGTTCGGTTGTTGATAGTCTGTTGATGAGGTAGTGTTGGATTGGGTGAAGCTGTTGGCTGGGCTGGTTGACCATCATCGAGTATTTCTGGCCACCACTGAGACTGGTCTGCTGCTGTTGTTGTTGTTGGTTGTTCATGTTTTAGTTTGGGTGTTGGTGTTTGGTGGTGGTGCTTGGTGCTTGGTGAGTGGCTAGTAGTGCTGCTGTTGATGATGAAACCCGGCTCAAGAGATCTCAACACTCACTACTAGCATCAAAAACTCAGTCTGAGTCCACCCTACATACAAGCATACATTCAGCACTGTCACACACATATCACTCATTGCAAATGAAGCACTCATCTATTTGGGAGGCCATTGGTTGAGAAGGGCCTTGATCATTGGATGGCTTCACATCCCATCAGCTACAAACATGAATGAATTCAATCCAATACTCTGAAGTTTGAATGGCTCAAGATTGGATTTGGGTGCTTGTCCAAAACTAGATTAATGCGTGCTTGATCCAGAATCAACAAGAACTTACACTTTCTTCTCACACTAGCATTTCTCAAAGCTGGCTGTATCAATGATTTTGGCTGTGATCATGTAAGAGCCTCCCAGCCAATAGTTGCTCATGTATTTATAATGTTTATGGATGGATGCATCAACTTCAAAAACCACTACTACATATATACAAACATCAACTTACTCATAAAATAATTAGCTCAGAGTCACAGATTGTAGAAACACTTTGCAATCAAGAAACTCATGGCTCATCATTGGAATGCTAGTCATGATAGTAATCAATACTATTTGTACATTGATTCTCTGAATCTTCTTCATGACCAAATCATCATGAAACTTTGTTGAGAAGATCTCCAAGCTCAATTCAAATCTTCATAGCCTCAAACTAGCTACATCAATTGTCCTTGTGAAGGCTAACTAAATCAGAAAAATAAAAACAATCCTGCTACTCTATTAATAGTAAAAAAAAAAACAGGTACTTAGCTAAACAACTCCAAAATTTGGGAGTTGTTGAGGAGACTGTCTGGGGACCATCCCAGGACCACCCCATCCCTCCTCAAACTTGGGAGTCATAACTCCCATTCCCAGTGCAGGGAATGGGAGTTGGCTCCCAAGGCAATTGATATATAAAGGGGATTGGTTAATCAACTCCCAAGCCCTGATTTGCCCAGAAATTCCCCCGGGCCCAGATGACTCAAATACTGGGAGTTGATCCCCCAAACCCACCGGCAGGTTTGGGAGTCGGATCACCAAAACTTTTGAATAAAAAACAAAACCCCCAAAGAGGACCCAGGAGACCCCCTATGGAGGTGCCTAACCAAAATGAAGGAATGGATTTTCACCCTACACAACCACTTTGACTGAACATCAGATGTGATATCTGAATAGTTGCCACATCAGGACATGTACATCCTCAATGTGCATCATGTACATGTGTTCTTTAGTGGCTAACGTCAACAAGTGAGTTTTAATAACTGAAAAACTAAACAAAATGTAGGAATCTTTTCAGATTTGTTTTTTTTTTAGTTTTTTGCTTCTCATGAAGGCTCACTGGTGAAGATTTACCACTAAAGGGCTTATGGGAAGGATTCACCTTCAGTATGTACATGTCCTGATGTGGCAATTATCCAGATATCACATCTGATGTTCAGTCAAAGTGTTTGTATATGTTTTGATGTTTTGGTTAGGCACCTCTATAAGGAGTTTCCTGGGTCCTCCCCAAAGGAGTTGGGACAATTTCATCCAAGTGTTGGCTATTGAATGATCCACTGTGAGTTTTTACAGTGACAGTCACAATACAGACATAATTTTGGCCACCCAAGGATGTCTAGAATTTCCTCCCAACTCCTGAATCATTCCACATTGAAACCACTTCCAGATTGTCACACTATGGCAGTGGCACCAATGGCAGGAGCCAGCACATACAGTTTGACATGACACATCTTGGAGCTGCAAAATCTGAATGCTGTTGGGGGCATTTCTCTAGGCTTATGTCTGGGATTATGATTGGATCACTTTCCTTGATGTAATTCATGATAGTGCACTAAATTCAATGGTGCAAAAATTGATTACTTGTAGCAGCAACGGTGAAACAAACACAATACATGTACTTTGTATTTCATGTATTGGGGGGTTTCAAATTCCACAAAACCTGGATCCAGAAGACAGACATGCCTAAATCAGGAAAAATAAGTTCTGATTTTTCTTCTGATAATCTGCTCTCCTTCTGATCTCCAGCACCCAGGAAAGCCTGATTCTGCCACAGTAAGTCCCGCATCCTGAATGCTTTCCTGGAAGTGGTTTCTGTCAACTTTGGAACCCCCAATTGTATTGAAATGCATTGATTTCAAATTCTGATTTCTCTGTTTTCAGATAAAATACAGCATATTTGAAAACTGTTCACCACATGTGGGACACTATTGATAGCACTGACATATCTAACCAAATATTGAATTGAATCTCTGTGGATCATTGTTACAGAAAATCATGAGCTGAATCAGTTGTTGTGGTCAAGACTCATGAGGTGAACTTGAAAATCAAAATCTGTGTATTTCACTCAGTGAGGATAGAGGATTGAGTTGACATCTAGTAACACAGTAGCACTG